ATGGTTCAAATGATGACTATTTCCTTTTTCCTTGATATCCTTTATTTACATTGACATAACACAATCTAGATTCAGTAATTTCTGAGAAGGGGTAAGGTTAAATCTACCCTGGTGTTGACACATTCCCTAAGTCTTGATAGGTTTCCTGTATCTCTCCCAGGAAAAACAATCTCAAAGTTCCCATACATTTTTTTTTTTTTTAAATGGCGACACCATTGAACTCTTGGAATGTTTCTGATAGGATAATGAAGATGTAAAGATTTAATGCTCCTGGGGCAAGAGGTTCAGTCAGAATAAATGTAATATCTTAGCAACTATAATTTCTAGTGATATTTTGACTCTTTCATTGAAAGAACATTAAACATAAAGTTTATTTTTTGAGTGCCCATAAAAATTTCTTTACCTTTCAAAAGCATGTGATTTTTAAAAATATACCAGAATTGTTTGGAGAGAGATGTTCTTCCAAATTTTTTTTTTTTGTGAAACCTGTCCTGACACTAAAGGAATTCAGTATCTAAAGTATCTCTGGAGAGAAAAAAAGTGATACTTACAGTGTGGATTAGGTAAAATTTCACGAAGGTTTGTGTTCTAGACACAAATTTTACTTTAGATAAAATACAAGTTTAAAATAACAAGAAATTTTAACAATTCTTAGACTACATAAACAAGAAAATAGCAAAAGACTACCTCAAACAAAGCAGACAAATCCAGTTGGAATGAGCTATTTGTCATAAAATATTTTTAGAATCACAGAAATAATTAGAAATAAAATAATTCTTTTTAGTTTAGAACATCTTAAAATTTGGTAATTGTAAGGGAGAGTAAAGACATGGTTCTTCCACATTAACAGGAGAGGGATGCTGTTTGGATCAGGAAGAATTCAATTATTTTTTTTTCTATTAATGTCCTAAAATGATATCTGAATATATAGTTCTTTGGGGTATTGTCAAAATAGAGGAGACAAGAAGGTCAAAGTTACCATATCCCCTTACTTAATGGAAGTAGAAACAGTACAGAAGTTATTCCACACTTATTTTGTTTACTGCACAGTTAATGTAAACAACAAATCTCTAAGAGCAATTTGAGAACTGTATACTATGTAAAAGGCCAATTTATTCAGCATAAGAGACTTCTGAAAATCAGTTTGTAAAACAACCAGAAAATTGTCTTATTGTAATCATAAACACCTATCTATAAGTGTATTAGAGAACAGTTTATGTGCTCAATTAAAAATGTTTATCAAACATTGTGGCAGTTATTTTCTTAGAAAAAAGAAATATTGATACATCAAGTAGATTAAAAAGTACCTTTTCTCTTAAGTTCAGAAAGATTATATTTTGCAGTGATTTTTAACCACTTGTGATCCATATGATGCATATTTTACTACAATGTACAACATAATGTTTCTTTTGTTAATGTCGTAGCAATTGTATACATTTTGCATACATGATCTAAGCACAATCACATTTCACTTAACCAATGGAGCTAGTTTGTCCCAATAGAGCATGTTTATGATTTTTTTTT